TTGGCCGAAAGCAAATTGGAAAACTGAACATATCGCTGTTATATATTTTCGAATGCACACGCGACCCACATTGAAAACGCAAACTTTTTTCGCTTTGAATTGGAATCAACCCGGTCTAATGTACAAACATATGTATCAACAGTGTGCGCAGCATGTAGTTACATTTAATTTTTTAACCTACCGGTACAATACTTAGACAGGTTTATCTATATTTTGCATTAGACTGAGTCAAAAAAATTTTATAAATACCCGAAGCGGTTATCTCCGTTACTTGAAAGCTTACTAGGAGAGGATTTGGACGTAATAAAAAATCTCGTGACTAGGAAATAAAGAAAATTGACCCCTGACCCGAGCAACATCTAAATTAGAAAAGGTTTTTCTTACAGTCGTTGCCCCTCGGTAGGTAATGGCAAACCTTCCAGCCATGAAAAATCTTCTCCAAAAATCCATTTGTCGTTTGGATGCACATCACAAATGGAAGGAGAAGCTCGCCCAAACACCTAGCAAAAATTTAGGTACCAAAATATTATATTATGCATTTTCCTACTAGCCCATAGCACTGATTACCGATCGGACATCACGTAATTGAGCAGCCAGTCGACTAATTTCTTAGTGGCAGCTTTCCTCTTCACCAACTCTGCTGACAAGCTTCGACTTAAATACGTAGAAGTTAGCCAGCGCCTATTTTTAGCTTTTAACCCCAGTCTTCTCAACCCTTGGAGGGTTGTGAGTGGAGAAAAAGCTCATTGGTGACCACACAGTGACCTATGGCGTCAGGAATAAAGTGGAAGCCCCAAGAACACTGCAGCATCGAGATCCACAGTCAGTAAAGCACTCAGTGCGCTTTAGTCTGACCACAGCCTTATTTACGATGTTGACGAGCGCAATGTTGAGTTTGGCATTAAGTACTAGATGCGAGTTGTCCTAAGTGTCCCACCTTCAAAGTCTATTAAAATTGGACAAATATATTGAAGTCGGTATTCGCTGGTTGGTTGGTTGGTACGTTGGCTGATTGAAGTGGCGATTTTAACAACAACAATTATCTAAGACGTGCTCTTTTAAAATCACAACTAGCAGTTCAACCTGAAAAAAAGACTACAAGAAAACAGAAAAAGGACCCATGGAGTCTAAGAACCTCAAAAGTTGCAATGGGTCTCTTACTATATAAACGTATGTTTATTCAAAGAGGGCAGATTGAAAATAGCAATCGTTTTTTCTGTTAACGAAGAATCTATAATTTACTTCGGTCTTCGAGGAAGAGCGCAGTTCTCCTAGTTGTTTTCGAAGCATGTCGCTTATCACATTAATTCCCAATTGAGTCTTAGAACAATGTTGTTTAGTTCGCAAATCCACAGCAACGAGCCTCCGTTTTGGATGTCTGGTGAATTCGCTGCTGACTAGCTTAGCGCTTACAATCCTGGTACGAGGCATGGTTGAAATCCTGTTTACGAGTAAATTGTCAATCCCTGCTGAGTTATTGGTCTACCTCCACCTGACTGACGAAGTTGCATGCTTCTAAGAAAGCCGCCAACATACCCTGGTCAGTTTCCAGCTAAGACTCTAATTTATATACAGTCTAATGGAACATCCTTCGTTGACCAACTGTGAGAGAATGTGCATACCACTACTTAGTTTCTCGAAAGACAGTATGCAAGACGCGAGACTACTAGGCTCAGATAACATTAGGCAGCGTTGCAGGACCCGCTGACTAGTAGGTCCTTCAAGCGGTGCCGCAATCCTCATTTTCAAAACCGGAGAGTTCTCCAGGGGCTGGGTTACATGGAAAATAGATATGGAGGTAAAGCTTCAGCAACTCAATGTGGAGGATACATGACAACGCTCTAAGCTTCCGTAGAAGGCTCGCCAAAATACTCCTGTATTTGAAAGCTCCAATCAGAGCATAACCTGGTCCTGCGGGCTCTATTAAAGAAACGGCTGTTTAACGCCCCGCGATCAAAGAGCTCCGCTAACTCTCTCCGCAAGCTCTCGGATAGAGTCGATTTCTCTTCAAGTGACAAAGGGAGAGCTGAACTCAGATTCTTGAAGTAAAGATCCCAGTTGCGGCCCTCATATTTCTGGAAGCTGACCTACTTGACCTCGTTCCTGTCAATACCAAAAGTATGTATTCATAGGAACATTTTCCCTTGGGTCTTTGGGTATTTTTCTTGGTACGTAATGATTAATATAGAAATAATTTTGAATGACAATTTTTTGTAGATTTTGTTCCCATTTTTCGATATTTAGTTAGCACAAAAATTAAAAAATACCACACTGAAATGTCTTTTTTGGGGCAGACTCCAAATCAATCGTAACGCGAATAACATACGGTGGCAAGAATGTAAATATGGAAAAGACATTTTAGTAAGTGTTGGCTAATTTTCTTTGTTTATTATGTTTTATGGAAATATAGCTTACAATCTAAAAAAAACTTGCAAATCAAAATTTTAAACTTGCGACAAATTTTAACAAATGTTGATCAAACTTCAAAAAAAAACAAACGTTTAATGAGATTTTTTAGAAATATGCAGCTTCTGTAGCCCATTAAATTTTAGAGCAGGTTTGAAGTAGCTAGGATCTACCTTTGATTTTAGGCAATTTTTCTTCGCGCATTTTCTTCCACACAAAGTACATATGTTCGACAATTTCTTTGTATGGAGAAAATTAGAAACAGCTTGCACCAAAAAAGAACGAAATTCAACAGCTGCTAAAATTACACTTTCATAAAACATTCAATAAGCGAAAGGAAAATTGCCAAAGAATGCTAAAATGAGTATTTCCTTTTTATATTTCAGCCAATGTGAAACAAAGGAAAGCTTTCTGAGATTTGTTTTTGGGCACTAATTTTTCTGTGGTTTTGCCTAGACTAAACTAGTTCTAGTAGTTCGGTTAAGTTTGGACCACCCGTCTGGGCTAACCTGATAGGAGGAACCAGTTAAGCTTAAGCTTAAGTAGTAGATTCTAGTATGAATATTTAGGCTTCTGTGCCCTTCAAAAAAATATCACTCCTCAGAATAACTCCGGCTAGGCAGTTCGCAGTATTGTTGCATTCAACATATTTCCTAAAAACAAATTTATCCGAAAATCGGTTCGGCCAGTAACATATGTATGTATGTATTAGGGTGATTGACTCGATTTTTAAACCGGTTTCCTCTGTTTTTTTTTATATCTATAGGCGGTTTTTTGAACTCTTGATTTATCAAAAATCTAATAAACCGGATTTTTCATCGAACAAGCCTGTTAACTTCTTCAGTTTAAAGGAAACCCCTAAATATTTTTAAAATTATATCCAAGGTTATTTAGTAATATTCAATATACATATGTATGTATATTTGATTACAATAAATAAATGTTGGGAGCTTATACGTTTTCGCCCGAGCATCTCCTCCACTTCTTGTCCTGCGTCTTGATGTCGTGACATAAATTTAAACTTTTGCTCTATCTCGGAAGAAGTATTTTTATGGCTGAAGTCCACTCCGAGCTTGGTCATTGTCTGTTTGAAAAAAACTTTGTTTGCTGCTTGGCTGGGACCAGAAATGGAACCATGGACGTACTGAGTGACAGTAGGCATCTAAGCACTCGACCACGGCGGCAAGAGCACAACTCAAATCCGAAAAAGTCAGAAAAATAAGAATAAAATATCAAAAATAATAATTTGCAGCGGGCGCGTTGATGTTGTCACACAAGGAGGACGGATCTACAGTTTTACGCCGACTCCGAACGGCGATTGCGTTTTTTGGGAAGCCGTTTTCATGGCAGAAATACTCTCGGAGGTTTGCCATTGTTTGCCTAAGAGCGACCTAAAAACATATTCTTATTATGTTAGTCGGAACGTGGGCTTGAACCCAGTACCGGCAGAATGGTGGCGCGCACTGCTAACCACCACACCACAGCGGCCGCAAAATAAAACCAAAAGTGAATTTTTCAGTAATTTTTAATTGTTTTGTTTTACTTTTGATCGAAAAAATATATTTTTTGCTTTGCTCTTTTCTACATAAAACCTCTCTTTACCGTAAATAGTTTTATTGTAATCTTTAGTCGTGACTTCATACCAACATAAGCATTTTCACTGTATGAAAACAATGTAACTGGATTATCCAGTTTTTTTTTTTAATTTCAAAATCGGGAACGTTTTTTTTTCAAACTACAATTTTTCGAATGACTCGAAACCCAGCTTTGGAAAAAAGGCGAATTTACGAACTCCCTAGTATGTATATAACAATAAAGGTAAGCTAAATTTACATCTTCCCGTTCTCATTATCTTAACCATACAGATCACTCTTTATCTTTTGCATGGTAAATCTCTTTGGGTCTCTATATAACTTGCTAATTTTAAAATGGTATTTTAGCGAACCTAAAAAAAACAATCTGATTTTTTTTTGTTTAATACATTAATTATTTACATTTGTCATGATTGAAAAAAAATTAGGCATCAAAATCATAAAATAGTTGGCATTGTGGCTTCCAGCAGTGGAATTCTGACAATCGCTACGCTAAAGTTTCGTACCTAAAATTCTCCAAAAGAAAAGCAGTATGGCCTAAAAGTATACAGCATGGAAGATTAACATATGCAATGCGCAATCATGCATGCAGCAAGATGTTGCGTGTTGTTAGGGGCGCCTGCTATTATTTTGAAGATTTTTGGTGATCAAAATTAGCGATAGCAAATGTTGGTATTCAGCTTGAAAATCGCTATTACTAATTTTCATTGCCAAAAATCTCCAAAAGAATAGCAGATGCGCCTAAAACCATGCAACATCTAGTTCCACGGCTTTCAAATTTGGCTGATTACGCTTTGCATCTCTTACTTTTTCATGTTGTATACTTTTACTCCCCACTGCTTTTTACAGAATTTTGGCAGCGAAAATTAGTCAGAATTCCACTGCAGGCGCTCAGTGGCGGCTCTATGATTATAAGCTTATAAAATTCTTTCCTGAAATCACAAAATATCATTTTCCAATGCATCAGATCGCAATTCTCTACCAATTAATCCAAATCTTTAGCCCGAAAACAGCGTCGCTATGAAGACACCAACGAAGACATCGCCTACGAAGCCGCCAAGCAATTGGGACAACTAAATTACCGCCTTAATCAGTTGGCTTTCGAAGAGCAATCACGCCAAATATCTCTACCAAATATGACCATCAACGATTTGGTGAGTCGCATACCCTGTACCTGTGACGAGGGTATATGCAAGTGCTGTGCGGGTGAGTAACAATTTGCGATTTTACCTAATAATATAATTCCAATGTATTATTCTAGGCTTCCTATCCGTGATCGGCTTGAATAGCTGCACCGAGGTGGTCTATAAACCCGAGGAATTCTCTTTCGAACTGCGCATGCGTGTCAACAATAATGTGTGGTTCAAACGGAAAGTGTCAGGCCAAAATCCGCCACCTTTCTGTTTCCGTCCACCGCGTTTCAACTTCGCGCGGGCTTGCATACAATTCCATGATATTTGGTTTGTGGGTCGAAATATGCATGTTTGCATGCTTTTGTCGGGCTCGTTTCAAGGATATGAATTGTTTGAGCGGTAAGTGTGCAAAAGAATAGTAAAAATGAAGCTGACATGAAGGAAATAACTTATAACTTATCCCTTTCTCAGCAACTTCGATTGCTTGCTCTTCGGCGATAAGGGCGTGAAAATTGTGAAGCCAGAGCAAGGCTATCCGGTGCGCCCCACAGATGTGGACATTGATGATAGCGACGATGAAATAGAGGAGTATGATGAAAATGTTGTGCGCAGAAGACGACGCAGACGCCTGAGCAAAGTAATGCGTTCCAAGCGTCAGGCTTAATTCATTTGCCATCCTCCTTGACTGATAAACTAATCTATAATTACTTATCTTTAATTAATTTATATTTTTATATTTCAAATCACAGCAAAGCTCATAGGAAATAATTTATGTGTGGGAATTTGTTCTGCGAAAATTAATTAACATCATCCATCATCGTAAAAGATCATTCTTGTAAGATTACCTAATTTTCGATAATAAAACTGGCAATGCGGATCCCTCTGTTTGTCGCTATACACAATATCTCGAGTGGACATGAAGATATCAAGCAAAACTTAGGGGGGAGTATTGATTTATTCGATATTATCATATTTCCTTAGGTGTCTAAATAACAAAAACATAGAAATCGGACGAAATATATTAGTTTTTTTAATACATACATATATACAGATTCTAAAACAAAAGTCGTCAAATGAAAGTATAAATTCGCAAAACGAACTAAAATTTGTATTCAAAACTAAAGTTAGTAGTTCGTATTCCTACTTTTGTTTTGAAATATTAAAAGAAAACGATCCGCATAATTCGGACCAATTTTCTAACATTTCCGATCCAAGTTTTTCACGTTTGTTGCCAAATTTATGCTGAGAACGTCGACATAAACAGCTGCCGTTATTCCTCTTTCGTTTTCTAGCAAATTACCTACAACAAATTTTCGGAAATAGCCCCAATTCTTGTGAGACCCGCCTGCATGCATTACCGCTGACAGTGTTTTCAAGATCAGAAGGCTTACACCATACCCGTGTACTGTTTTCTGAATTCTTCAGCTCATTGGGCCAAATTACTTATTACCAAAATGCGGTTGGCATGTTTACAAATTGTTTCGCAAACTTCCGCTCGGTTTTCCTATTCGTTTCTTCATTTTTTCTTGTTCGTAATGGAAATTAGCGGTCTTTTTTTTGCGAAACATTCCAAATGCAAGCTTTCGATCAACTCCCTTGATGAAATTTCAGGACTCTTTGCAACTTTTTTTCTCTTAAGGAGCTCAACATGTATCGCCAACGACTCTCCTGAGTTGGTTACCTTGAATACCATAGTGTCCTGGCTAGCACACAAGTTCAAGCCCATTCCGTCTAGCAACGGAATTCAGCCTCAACTTACATTCCTGGACTATTTCTGAAAAGTTTCGAGTGGTTTCCAAAGCCTTTGGAGCGGCTTGGCTATTACTACATACCATGATTTTATGTCCGAGTCTATGCGACCATCATGAAAAAAAGCATTTTGCTGCCATTTGGCAAACCTCCGAGTGCAATGTATTTTTTCCATGAAAAATCTTCGCACAAAAAAGACTTGCAGCTTATAGGCGGCGTAAACCTCTAGGTTTACAAATGGGAGGACACGCCAATTCTTTAAAACTAAATATACGATACCGATTTAAATTGTTATCTTTTAGATTTCTTTTTGTGGGACTGGGTTTATGCGAACAATCTCACGACTATGGGATAATTGACAACACCTATTCACTTATTTGGCGACTAATGCCATTACATTTGTCATTTTAAAAACAAGAATTAAGTCATTGGGCTGTAAATTTAAATCATTTGTTTCAGTTAGCGCACTTTCTATTCGAGTCAGGGGCAACTTCCTATAAGTTTTACGGCTCTATTCTGTATCACTGAAAAATTCTTGTCACAGTTTTTATTACTTATATATATGAAAAAGTTTAAATTTGTCAGTAAACAAATTTTTGTCACCGATACAGAATTGGGCTATTGAACTTACCTTAATTTATCTTTAAGTTATATTTTACATATATTAAGTGTATATATGTTACAAATGTCATTGGAATACCTAAAAACTTGCAAATAAAATTTACAAAACGTACCGGAACAAATGCTCTCAAAGGCACAACACGCCTACATGAAAGGTAGATTAGAAGCAGCTCTGGATAACAGAGAAATCGTGTTAGGGGTCATCCTCTAAATGAGGTGGGCATTCCACAATGTCTCAACGCAAGCCATTTTAGGTAGAAGGACGACGATAGAGGTTCATCCCGCAATTTCGAACCGGATACGTGTCGAGTTGCAGAAGTGTCTCGGTGCAGTGGGGTAGGCATGACAGCACCAACCCGGTCAACAAGGGTATGATGCTACTTTGGTCGCTGGTGGGACGACTTGCCGAACTTACTGCATATGCGTAAGATATTTCTGTCATTGTAAGCGGAAAATGTCTGTCCACACTGAGCTCACTATGAACCAAGCACTACCAGTGATAAATCTTTGGGCAATCGAAGTGTTGCTTAGTATTAACGCAAAAAAGACATATCTGATACTCTTCACCAGAAAATACAAGGTTATGGACTGGTCTAAGCCTAATCTGGATGGGGTGACCCTCCAGGTGAAGCAAGACACCAACTATTTTGAAATAATGCGCGATAGTTAGCTGCCGTGGTGCCTCAATGTAGTATGGCGTAAACTTTACTCGGACGGATTGACTATATGATTACGGATCTGCATTTTGGGAGGAACTTCAAAGCCACCACAGAGGCCGAAGGCTGGCGTAAAAGGATGAGGAATCCTGGCTCGGTGAATGTCTACACAGAAGGATCGCAGATGGAGAAGGGCATTGGACGGCAGTTGTGTGCGTAGAGCTCGTCCTCAACACATCCTTTAAGCTCCCAAACTACTGTAGCATTTTCCAGACTTAGGTATTGGCTATAAGGAGGGCGGTGCAGCTACTGTAAATCAATCTAGCAGATAAGCAGATGGATCTCTATATCGTCAGTAAGGCTGCGATAAAGACGCTACTATCGCACCAAACTTCCTCCAGAAATATGACGGAGTGCAGCTCCGGATTTACTACATACCAATAGTGACGTAGTGGTGGTAGTGACGCTGTGGTGTAGTGGTAAGCAGTGCGCGCTTCCACTCCACAAAACCTAGGTTCAAGCCCTGGTCAAAGCAACATCGCAAAAAAATATAGAAAAAAGGTTTTTTCATAACAGTGGTCGTCCCTCGGCAGGCAATGGCAATCCTCCGAGTGTATTTCTGGCATGAAAAGCAGCTTCTCATAAAAATACAATCGCCGTTCGGAGTCGGCGTAAAACTGTGGATCCCTCCGCTCTGTGTGACAACATCAAGGCGCACGCCACAAATCGGAGGAGAAGCTCGGCCAAACACTAACATATGTGTTAGCGCCAATCTATTATTATTATTATTATTATTATTAATAGTGACGTATATCTGTATTGGATTTCGGAGCACAGCGGAGCCGCGGGCAACAAGCAGGCCGATAGGCTTACCAAAGAAAGTGCTTCGTCAGAAACAATGCTGATAGAAAAGGTGGCGATTTCTCTCCCCGCTATTAAACGGGAACTCGACCTTTGCATGATCCTGAAGGCGTGGAATAAAACATAAGGCTACAAGGTGTCCAGAATTATGTGCAGAGCATATGACATGAAGCTCCCAAAATTTCTTATTTCCCTCAAGAGCGAAGACGCTAGGCTACTGGTGGCATTGGAAGCCTTTAAACTCTGTAAGATCTGTAGAAGATGCAGAACGAAAGAGGAGACAGTGGAGCATAACCTCTGCGAAGGTTCTGCTCTTTGCAGACTGCGGTTTAGTTTTCTGGGAGCAGGTTTTCTACCTAATATTGCAGCCGCCGCTAAGGTAGGGTATAACAAGGTGTTCCAGCTTGCCAAGAGGACTACGATGCTCTCCAACATTGCTCCTGGTACGCATTGATTAGCTGTCCAAAGTGATAGTAGTTTATTTGGTAGCGCTAGGACCTTAATAGTCTCTGCGAATCCACGCAGTGGCTGGCCAGCTTACCTAACTTTCCAAAAAGCAACTAAATATTCCAGAATCCTATTATACATACATATGTGCATATGTATACAAATCCTATGAGCATGTGTGTATGTGTGTCCTTGTCAGAGTGAATGGAAGTGTACCACAAAAGCGCAACACAACTTGTCGCACGCGTGCTCAATGCAGCTGGATAACTGAATAAGAATGCAAGCTGTTGCTCCTTTTGTAAAGGAAGTGCGAAAAAATTCAGTGCAAAAGCGAGGAGTATAATAAAAAATAATGGCATAGAAATTTTTAAATCAAAAATCAAGGGCATAAGTGCTGCCACTCGAGCGTAAATAATGAATATGCACTTGCATTCAGCGCACTCACATTGTGCAAGGATATGAATATGCAACAGCACACATACACACCAATGCAGACTTCTCTGAATGCCAGGATATGTGCTAAGCCTATTCATACATCCCAGCAAACTGCCACCATACCTGACCTTGCACACTCGGAAGGTGCTTGATGTGGCATGCAATTTTCACTGCAATGCTTGCAACACATATTTCTCCTTTGTATACACGAATGCATGTGCATACGTATGTACGTGTGTGCGTACGTGCGGAGTATATTCATGCATTAGACAGCACCTCTGCCACTTCGGAAGCTCTTCATCGCACTTTCATTCGTATCCTTGTGCTGCATTCTCATCCTACGCATGGCACACTGAAGTGCAAACTAGAGTACAAAAAAAACCAAAGCAAAGCAATGGTATGAAAGGCATGGTACGCTGCAGTTAGCAAGGTTGCATGCTGGCTATGCATATGCTGGCCAAAAAACAACAATAACAGTGCGTCGACAGCAACCGCAACAAAACGTTTTGTTTGGCGGCTTACAAAAAGATGCAATCCAGATGTACTCCTTATTTTTGTTTTGTTGTTGTATAGCAGCAAAAGGGGCAACTAAGCAGGATATGTTGCATGACTTCAAGCATTTTTGTTTGTTTGTTGCTTGCAAGCATTTACATATGTTTGTACGTATGTATTTGCGTATGCAAGCGTCCTTTGCATGCTCCTCTGCCCATTTATTGTCATCACTGTCGTGTAATAAAGGACTATTAGGGATAAAAGCTGTCGTCCTGCAGCTGCTGCTCATTGCAGCCAGCATGGAAAAACATGTACATTTGCTACTTCAGCTGCACACTTATGCGGTGAATATTTTCACACTTAAACAACGATGTGCACCGGTGTGTTTGTTGCAAGAGCCACCAATTTAACGCTAAAGGATATGCACTTCTTTTGTGGCAGCATAAGTTGCTTATGTTTTTGTTTATAAGCTTTCATGCTATGGCGTATGTATGTACATGCATATGTGTGTATATGAATGACTTCAGAAACCGCTGGAGCAGACAAGTAGGTGCCACCTCCTAAAAAATGAGTAGGTAAGTATAGTAGCCTAAGTGTTTATTAATGAGTGGATTTTAAAATGTGTCTGCGTATCTTCTGAAGA